AGGGGGGCTTGCCGAAGAGACTCCAGGTTTGGGGTCCTAGCCGGCCCTGCGGCGCGCCGGGCTCTTTTGCGTACGGGGTACCTTGACGCTTATTGTCCTCCCTGCGCCCTGCTTCGGCTTATGGCATTGGTGCGCGAGTTCTGCCGACACCTGGTTGCCGGCTCCTTTCCAGGGATGGGTGCTGGCATGAGGTGCGCCGGGCCCGCCATTGTTGTTTGCCGAGGCGGCTCTCGTAGGAATACGGCTGGGAAGGGGGGGGCCTCGTGTTGCGGGGGGTCCTCGTCTTCGTCGTCCTCTTCGCCGGAGGCTTGCCCAAATCCGGCTTGTATAGATGAGTTCCCGCTGGCACCGAAGAATGCCCCTTCCGTGCCTTACCAGCGCGACGCTAATATCCCTGGGGGTCTCCGCCCCCCCCCCGCGCGCTGACGGGGGCCCAGAGGCGCGGTGGCCGCAGTCTCCTCCTCGGCGGCGAGCTGCCCTGCCGGGGTTTTCCGTGATTGATTCCGGCCTGGGGTGGCCACGAGTCGGGGGCCAGATGCGAACCCTACCCCTACCCCCCACGATTTTCGAGGGGGAGGGTGGGGTTCACTTCGTTCGGGAGCTCCCGAGTGAAGCGAACCCCACCCTCCCTCTCAGAAATCGTGGGGGGGAGGGGTAGGGTTCGCATCTGGCCCCCTAGCGAGGTTGCTCGCGGACGGCTTCTTCTCCACCCCGCGCAGCTTCTCGCGGCCTTCGGCCGAGGGCCTCCAGGCCGTGGGGCAGCCGGTCGCAGTCCCCAGCCGTGCGCCCAGCCATGCGGCGGAGGTCCGAGCCCGAGAGGAGCGGGGCCTTCCGGGGCTGCATGGCCCCCGGGGGCACCCCGCTTCGTGCCAGAGGCACGGTGACTCACCACCCACCAAACCACCCCAACCCAACCCGAAGGCTCAGATTTACCCTCGATTTCCAGTGGGGGGGGGGTCGGGAAACATAGAAAAAACACATGTGGAACCCTTACCCCCCCCAACCCGAAATTCGGGTCTTCGGGTTGGGTTGGGGTGGTCTGGTAGGTAGTCAGTGACAGATCTTCGGGTGCTCTCACAGAGAGCATGGGTCTGACACGTCCCAGAGGCTGCGACGGGCTCTGTCACCGCGAGTTCTGCCATCGATTTCGCAGGCTATTTGTCGGACAGACTGTTCACACTTGCCGATTGGCCATGCCATTATCCCGCGGGCTGCCATTTACTATTCCACGTTTTCCTCTCACTTCTCCAGTGTCGCTGCTGAGTGCCTGCATGTGTGACGCTTGTACGCACGTCGTCAATCGGTCAGACTTAGCACACCAGGCATCGCCCCGCAAGCTTCGAGGCTCGATTGCGCCTGCTCGCTCGTCGGCGCCAGGCTGTAGCAGATGCGTTGGACGAGGTCAGGACTGGGCTTGGATAGCTCGTTCTCGCGTGACGGCCATGTGGCTGTCGGGGCTGATGCCGCCTGGTGCGTTCAGTCATGGAATTAACCTGTGTTTGATGGCGTTCATGCTCTAAGTTGTTTCAGAACATGATTGAATCATCTCTCAACCTTGGTCGAGGGCTCGACGTTTGGCTTTCGAAGAGCGCCTCCTTGCCCTCCTTTTTCCTCCATCTTAATATCTAGTAGCCTTCGACCCATCCCGCCACCGCGCCTGCGGAGTGGGAATGAAGCCTATTGGATGTTCGTTGGGATCTCGTGGAAGGCCTCTCGGGGGAGGCAGCCTGGAGGTCTCTTGGGGGCCACTTTGGGGCCTCTTGGAGGCTCTTTTGGGGCCCCTCGGGGCCACATTTGAATATCTTGGGACCTCTTGGGGGCCTCTTGGGGGCCTCTTGGGGCCTCCTGCGGGCCTCCTGGGGGCATCCTGGGGGCCTCTCGGGAGCCATTTTGGGCGGAGGTCTTGGATTTTCAGTTCGTATTGCTTCTCTTGGGCCTCTCTTTGGGCAGTGTTGGAGTCCTCTTGGGCCGTCTTGGGCGCCTTTAGGGCCGTCTTGGGGCCCTCTTGAGCCCTCTTAGGGCTCTTCGGGGCCTTCCGGGCCGTCTTGCAACGTCGGGAAGCCGACGAGGCGAGAACACCAATTACCCTGACGAAGGACCCAACCATAAGCAGTTGTGGATAACCGCGTTATGGTCCCATCTTTCGACGGGCCTCCCTATGGGACCACGAACCGTGGATACAATGGGCGGCTCGCAGCAGGAAAAGGAAATGGACGTGCGGTGCGCGAGGAGGGCGCATGCGGACGCGGCCACTGGGGCCTTCGGTGGAGCTCCCTATGGGCCATGAACCATGTGAAGGGCGTGCCGAAATGGACGTGCGGCGGGCGGGGAGCCGCATGTGGTCCCTATCATTGGGGCCTTCGGTGGAGCTCCGTATGGGGCCACGAAGCGTGTGAAGGGTGTGCCAAAATGGGCATGCCGTGGGCGGGGAGGACGCATGCGGACGCGGCCACTGGGACCTTCGGTGGAGCTCCCTACGGGGCCGCGAAACGTGTGAGGGGTGTGCCAACATGGGCATGCGGTGGGCGGGGAGGACGCATGCGGGTTCGGCCACTGGGGCCTTCGGTGGAGCTCCCTATGGGGCCACGAAACGTGTGAGGGTTGTGCAGAAATTGGCATGCCGTGAGCGGGGGGGACGCATGCGGACGCGGCCGCTGGGGCCTTCGGTGGAGCTCCCTATGGGGCCACGAAACGTGTGAGGGGTATGCCGAAATGGGCATGCGGCGGGCGGGGGGGACGCATGCGGACTCGGCCGCTGGGGCCTTCGGTGGAGCTCCCTATGGGGCCAACAACCGTGTGAGAGGTGTGCCGACATGGGCATGCGGTGGGCGGGGAGGGCGCGTGCGGACGCGGCCACTGGGGCCTTCGGTGGAGCTCCCTATGGGGTCACGAACCGTGTGAGTGGTGTGCCGAAATGGACATGCGGAGAGCAGAGGCAAGCATGGGGAGGAGGGGGCAGCAGGAGGAGGAACGCGGGGCGCTGTCTCTTCAAAACGAGGACTGTGACACCACACAGGATGATTGGAACAAACTTCAAACCTCAAGACAATCCATGACTGTTGCCTGTTGGGGCCCTCTTGGGAGGCCTCTTGGGGGCCTCTTGGGGCGTCTGGGAGGCCACTTGGCCATCTTGGGGCCATCTTGAGCGTCTTGGAGCGATCGGTCGGCGACGTGGGGCCCTCTTTGGCCGGAAAAAAATCGCGCGCCACCATTTGGCAAAGTCCAGGGGGCATGCGCCAAACCTCGGGAGATTTGAGAATTTGGGCTCTGGGCCCTTGACTGACTCCTCAGGTCTGAGGACTGGGGCTCTAGGGATTGTGCAAAGGACTTGAAGACATGCCCATTCCGTGCCCATAGGCACGGTGGTGGATTATCCTCGCCACCATCAT